AGTCAACTTGGTCAAGGGTGATGCGATAGATGAGAATCCCTGAACAAACCGGCGATAATAGCTTGCCAAACCAAAAGAGTTGTGAATCTCTGTGGCTGAGGACAGTCTGGGCCAACTCTGAACCGCCTCTATCTTCTTCGGATCAACCTGAATACCCTTGTTGGACACCACGTGCCCCAAGAAAGCCACTGAACTGAGCCAAAACTCACACTTGGAGAATTTTGCATAAAGCTTCTCCTCCCTCAATCTCTGCAACACAACTCTCAAATGCTCTGCGTGCTCCTCCTGACTACACGAATATACCATAATATCATCAATGAAGACTATAACAAAAGAGTGATAAGGCCGAAACACACTGTTCATCAAATGCATGAACGCTACTGGGGCATTGGTCAGCCCCAAAGACATCACCAAGAACTCATAATGACCATATCGGGTCCTGAAAGCTGTCTTAAGAATATCCGAGTCCTTGATCTTCAACTGGTGATAACCTGAACGGAGATCAATCTTGGAGAACACTCTCGCTCCCTGAAGTTGATCGAATAAATCATCAATGCGAGGCAAAGGATACTTGTTCTTAATTGTCTCCTTGTTCAATTGCCTATAATCAATGCACATCCTCATAATGCCATCCTTCTTCTTCAGAAATAGAACCGGCGCACCCCAAGGTGACACACTAGGCAGAATGAACCCCTTATCAAGGAGTTCCTGAAGCTGCTCCTTTAATTCCTTCAACTCCGCTGGTGCCATACAATACGGCGGAATAGAAATGGGCTGAGTGCCCGACACCAGGTCAATACCAAAATCAATATCCATGTCCGGTGGCATGCCCGGCAGGTCTGCAAGAAACACATCGGGAAAATCCCTCACAACTGGAACCGAATCAATACTGGGACTTCTGATTGCCTCCTCCAGCCTGAGAAGTATCTGCGGCTGTAGTGGCTGAAACTACCTGAGCTAGGCCAGTACAAACTGATAAGATCTGAGCCAAGGCTTCCTGAAGACCCGGAATCACAATGGGCACAGCTGGTGCCTGAGCTGGTGCTGTAGGAGCGTCCATAACTGGGACCTGATCCTGAACTGGGGCAGCTGATGGATCTGCAGGTGCTGCCCTAGCTGCTCTGCCCCTACCACAACCACGGCTGCGTCCTCGACCTCTGGTGGCCACAGCTGGTGGAACTGGTGGTCGTCCACCCTGCCCGGTAGCACGTGTCCTCACCATCAGTGAGAGTGAAATAACAGAAGTTTAGTATTCGGATCAACAAGTTCGCACGACAAGAATTTCAAGAATATGAAGTTTTTCGTAAAGGTTCTGCAGCCTATCGAGGATAAATACAGACGTCTCCGTACCGATCCGCGGGGCTCTACTAAACGTGCTCATGACTCGTGAGACCTATGTAACCTAGGCTCTGATACCAACTTGTCACGACCCTAAACCCAAGCCCAGTCGTGATGACGCCTCTCGTGAAGACAAGGCCAGCCAACTATTCCCAATTCGATGTTAAATAGTTAAACAACAAGAAAACAGTCTAAAACATGATTTAATAATACTAAGTAGCAGATAATATCATAAATATGCGGAAGGACAACCCAACACAGCTCGAAGCCGGGGTGTCACTAGTCATGAGCATCTATAAATCCTATTACAAGTCCGATAAGTCTATAACTATTACAAATATCTGAAAAGAGATAGAAATGACAAAGAGGGAGAAACACAGGAATGTGGACGACAAACAGCTACCTCGTGGACTCCGATATCTGCCGGGAGCTCTCAACTCGCACTGGCAGGATCCGCAATGCTTGAATCTGCACACAGGGGTGCAGGGAGTAAAGTGAGTGCTCCACCTTAGTGAGTAACAAATGTAAATAAAAACTGAAAGCAAGAAATCACGTAAGGCACAAATCATTCTATAATGAAGCAATAAAACCATTTAAAATCAATAAATCGGTGAAAGATAAGTAAAATCCTTTATCTCAAATGTAGTTTCATGAAAAGCCTTTTTCAATAATTAAGTAGGTAATTGACAGTCAATTATGAAAAGTAAACACATAAAGGTTCGCCCCTCGGGCATAGTATCAATAAATCCGCNAAAATTCTTTAATTCAAACGTAGTTTCATGAAAAGCCTTTTTCAATAATTAAGTAGGTAATTGACAGTCAATTATGAAAAGTAAACACATAAAGGTTCGCCCCTCGGGCATAGTATCAATAAATCCGCCCCTCGGGCAATATCTCAGAACAGTACCAGCCCCTCGGGCAATCACATAGAACAATACCAGCCCTTTGGGCTCAATCTCACATCACAATGGGTACCCGCGCTCACTGAGGGTGTACAAACTCCTGGAGGGGCCCCTTACGGCCAAAGCGCAATATCAAGCCACCTCGTGGCATCATCACTAGGCCCTCGGCCTCATATCAATCAAGCCACCTCGTGGCGTACATATCTCAGGCTCTCGGCCTCATAATCAGTATCAAATGTTTCCTCACAACATAAGCCCTCGGCCTTACTCAGTCAAAATCCTCACAAGCCACTCGGGCAGTAGTAAAACATGTCTCTCAGCCCAAGAAATCATTTAAAAGATCACATAAGTATTAAAACAGAGTAAATATGGCTAAGTACGAAAAACAGTGAAATATAACATGACTGAGTTCAAGTATAAAGTCAAAAATAATGAGGAAATACTAGTAAAAATCCCCGAAGGGTCCAAATAGTTGGCACAAGGCCCAAATATAACGTTCAGCCCAGATCATGATGATAGCAAATAGATTTCAGTCAAATACGCGGTAAAATAGTCATCCGGGACGGACTAAGTCACAATCCCCAATAGTGCACGACCCCACGCTCGTCATCAAGTGTGTGCCTCACCTCAATATAGCACTACGATGTGCAATCTGGGGTTTCGAACCCTCAGAACATCATTTACAATCATTACTCACCTCGAACCGGTCAAATCTCTAGCTCGTGATGCCTTTGCCCCTTGAATCGGCCTCCACTCGTGTCAAATCTATCCAAAATCAGAATGAGGAAGTCAAAATATGCTAAGGGAACGAAGCCCAACCGAAAACAATCAAAATACGACACAAATCCCGAATTTACCACAACCCGAACCCGGGGCCCACGTCTCGGAATTCAATAATTTTTACATCAATAGGTTCCTTATCTCCCCACGAGTTCATACATATCAAAAGTTCTGAATTCCGACCTCAAATGGTCCTTCAAATCCTCAAGCAAAGGTCTAAGTTTCCAAGCCCTAGTTTTCCCAATTTTCACCCTAAATTTCCATAATTTCTAGCTCTAATACGTGAAATAATAGCATAGGAACGAGTTTTAAGTCCAAATTCCTTACCTCAATAAAGTTCCCTTGAAATCCCTCTTTCAAATCGTCTAAAAAGCTCAGAAGCCAAGATAAAAATGGTGAAATAGCTCAAAATTCGCGAAGGCCACAATTTATACCTTCTGCCCAGTCATTTTCGCATTTCCGGCCCTTTAACCGCTTCTGCGGTACCGCATTTGTGGTTCATCATCCGCTTCTGCGGAAATCACTTATCCGGTCAAATATCGCATCTGCGATCACACTTTTGCATCTGCAACATCTGCGGTCGCCCTATCCGCTTCTGCGGTCGCTGCTCATCAGGCCATTTTCGCTTCTGCGATCAGTTCCTGCGCTTATGCGGCGCCGCACCTGCGGTCCCCAATCCGCAGGTGCGGAAATACCAGAAGCAACAACTTCAGCAGCTGCAATAAAGTCCAAACTTCTCCGTTAACCATCCGAAATCACCCGAGGCCCCCGGGACCTCAACCAAAAGCACAAACATATCCTAATACCTTATTCAAACTTGTACCAATCTTCAAAACACCTCAAACAACATCAAATCAATCAAAACACATCGGATTCAAGCCAAATTTTCTAAAATCTTCTAAATTTCACTTTTGATCAAAAATCCAACCAAACCACGTCCGAATGACCTAAAATTTTGCACGCACATCCCAAATGACACAACGAAACTACTGCATCTCTCGGAATTCCATTCCGACCCTTATATCAAAATCTCGCCTACCAACCCGAAATTGCCAAAATATCAACTTCACCAATTCAAGCCTAAATCTACTCCGAACCTCCAAGACTCATTCTGATCACACTCCTAAGTTACAAACCACCTCCCGAAGCTAACCGAACCATCAGAACTCATATCCGAGCCTTCTAACACATAAGTCAACATCCAGTTGACTCTTCCAACTTAAGCTCACTCTAAAGAGACTAAGTGTCTCAAACCATACCAAATCATTTCCGAACTCGATCTGACCAACCCAATACCACAAAACGTGGATAAACAAGGCATAAAAAAGCAGAAATAGAGAAAACAGAGTGGTAACTCATGAGACGACTGGCCGGATCGTCACAGTAGGGTGGTAAAGGTGAACGACACTGTAGCTTATTACATTCTAGTCTATTGGTTACTTGTCAATATTGCTTGGTCAGAAGTTGATTATGTGATAATACCCATTAATGTCAAGGATAAATTCCATTGGGTGTTGGGTGTATTCGACATATGCAAAAGGATCCTAATAGTGTATGACTCATTTATTGCAGCTGGGAATAATAATGCAGTTCATCAGCTTATTAACAAGTTTTCAGTTGTTATACCTCTTTTCCTCCAATGCTTAGACTTCTACGGGAAGCAGAATGGCATAAACTCCTATATTGGAAAAAGTATTTCAGAACCTTTGAAAGTTCAGTGGTTAGTTACCGAGGTTCCACAGCAGAAGTTTGGCTCATTGTATGTATATTTAAACCATTAGTTTCAATACTAATGGTATTCTCTGCCATACAATTGTGTACATTTTAGCATGTGTTTATCTGTTACTTTAATGCTTGCAGGGACTGTGGGTTTTATGTTGCAATATTTGCAGAGTATGTCAGTATCGGGGAGTTTTCAATTCCAAATGTCAACTTTAATGTAGAAGAGCACCGTAGACGCTTTGGAGCTCTCCTTTGGGATTACGCAGGAAGAAAACAAGAATTGGGGGCTATTAGTGATAGTAAGGTCACATGCAGGACTGCAAGGAGGAGAGGTGGTCCACCAAAGAAACAAAGATTAAGAGTTCGCAACAAATAGGTTATAAGAAATTTGGAGAAGATGTCTTTTGGGAATTTGGATTGTGCGCCATATTTTGGATGCTACGTACTTGATGTTTTTATAATGATTCTTACGTTACAATTTAAGCGTTTTAATTTTAATTACTCATGGTAGTGGTTTAATACATTTAATATACACTTGGTATAGTAGAGCTATCCAGTTAATACTGGATTTCAATGATGAATGCAGAATGCACATGAATCATTTTGACTGGGTTGTTATTATTCTATAAAATTCTGCATCACATAAAAAGTACTTTATTGGAAGAATTAACTATTCTATTTTCTCTTAGGAACATTGCGACATGTCTTCTTATTCTGTCCTAACCCTCCACAATTGTTGCACGACATTATACTTTTTAGCTTTCACTTCGTTAAAAGTTTTGTATCTTGTTTTATGAGGCTTTCCCGGAGCCCTTTTCACAGTAGGAGGTAATACCTCCTCCTCCGCAATGTCAAAGGAATATCCCATTTGCTTTCATTTGGTAGAGGGTCCACCGGAATTACATATGTCTTAAGAAGGTTTGCCCTTGTGTAGTAGACGGAGCAATACTCGTCACTTAGGTTTTTTTTTATCGCAAAACAGCCAATGCATGTCCACATGGCAGTTGATCCAATTGAAAACGTCCACAGGTGCAATTCCTTTTCCGTAGGCAAACTATGAATTCTTACAACCATCTGTGACTGTATGCACATACTCTGTGGAACTCCGCACATATAAAGATTAACAAAAGCACACGTTTAATGAATAAGATGTAATCAGTACACCTAGTTATACAATAAACATACATTTATCATACAAAAATGCATGACAAAACAAAAAATAAAATTAATACTGCCTACTTTCAATATTTATTGTAGCTAGATTGAAATAACAATTTACCTAATTATCAAAACAATAAGGAAAAAATACAGAGTACAATATATTACCCATACAATATAAATACATATAGTTAAGACGATACTTACTCGCGTGCACTATGATAAAACTTTGTTATCCTCCAGCATCTTGTGGTATTTTTTCCCGAGGAATGTGAGGGACCCCGTAGCATTTTCCATGTTGGTGCTATTCCACCTTTCAATAAGTGCCCTCATGAATTCTAACAAAGCAATTACTAGCAGTTCTCTTGCGTCTTTATTAGCTGCATTCACCAATTCTGCAATATTTAATGTCATCGTCCAAGTTCTATTCACCGTTGCATACACACAAGACCACTTTTCGTAGCCAATTTGATACAAGTAACTTTTTACTCGTGGGTCTATCTCGTCAACCTTTGACATTAGTTCGTTAAACTCGTCTATAGTGTACGCTCTTGCCAACGCAAAGTACAACGAACTCAGTTGTTCATGAGCCTTTTTTGAATTGTCTTTACGTTGTTCCACATATACCATATACACGCAAAATGTGGGACGTTGTCATACACTATGGACGTAGCCTTAATGATACCCTCTTGCCTATCCGACGCGACACACATTTGTGGTTTTTCACTAAAAGCCTCTCTGAACCTCTCGAAGAACCACCTCCACGAGGCGTCATTTTTCCCATCAACAATTGCGTATGCAAGTGGTAATATACTTCCTGTCCATAGACAAAATTCATTTCACTTTATGATATATATAAATTGACCGCCCAATATTCGAATAAAATATTTATTATATACACAGAAAGTACTAATAATATAGATAGCTACAACTAATAACTTAAACATTCTTCGTATGTTTATACAATGTACCTACTAACAACATATTTTTATGATATATAATTATATGTTTTGTTTCTACTCACACATAATTTACATAAAACATACAATACAATACATATCACAATAAATAAAACTAAATGGAATTATGATATCACAATATGTTCATATAGTTAAAATACTCTTTAAAAAATCAACTAAATGTACAAAAGTTACCTGCTGCATCCAATGTACTTGCAGTTAGTATGGTCCCCCTGTATGCGGATTTGAGAAAGCTACCATCCACAACTATAATTGGCCTACAATACTTCCAACCCCTTATTGATGTGTATAAAGCTACAAATGCATACAAAAAGCACCCCTCATCTGTTTTTTCTAGCCTCATAACTGATCCGAGGTAAGTCTTCTCCAAAATATATAAATAGCTAGGTAGTCGGTTGTAGGATTCACTTGGATCACCTCTCAATATTTGAAAAGTATTTTGTTGTGCTCTCCAGACCTGCATGTATGTTAAGTTCACACCATATTCCTTCAGCATGTCGAATTGTATGTCCTTCAGTGTGTATATAGTTTTAGGATTTGCATATTTGGTTTGATAATACTCCCAATGACCTTGGCAGTTGCTTGCCGACGTGTATAAGTATTATCCATCAATGAGTATGTGTGTACACTGTTGAATTCCCTTACCTTAAATATGGTTGATTTGTTAAGGCTTGTAGACCTAAATTTTCATGCACAATGCTTGCTAAGGCACTCGAGGCAGTAGCTGGGAAGTCAAAAACGATGAAATATGACCATACAAAAGTTATACAATTGTAATACAAAAGTAAAGCCTTTTGTCGCACTGAATAATTGACACAAACCCACTTACTTAAGCATCAAGCGAAATTAATCCACTAACAATACAAAAATTAAATACAATAACCAGGAATACATACATTTCTTTGAATGTTAATATTATATTTGTATATTTGTCAAAAGTAATTACCTGTTTTCACATGACCTTTTTACCCTGAGTTGGAATTTGTTCACAACTGCATAATGCTTCATCGCACTGACAATCGTATATTTGTCTAGGTAAATCTGACCAACCTCAATACTTTTAGGTAGTGTGTCTACTATTATTTAACACTCACAACCACCATTGTCATCGCATGGATCCACCTCAAGAAAATTTACTTTGTCAGAAACACTGCTGAACGTATCACCATTGTATGGTAATTGTATCAGGCTATTTTGTGCATTTTCGAAGGACTCTGCAATGATATTATCGCCTATCGTATTCCAGTCCAACGCGAATTCCTTCAATGTTATACATAATGGATATATTCCGAACTCCTTGCAGTTCCTTTTCATCTCTATATACACTCATAGCCCCATGTCATTGTGAATTTTCATGGGAGGGTACCTGTCACTGACTATATATTTGATCTCTATTATTTTAACAGAGGTATCTATAGATAATTGCCGAGCAATGATTGAAATTAACTCATCATAGCTTGACCCTATGTTGATTACAACTCCATTAACATTGAAATATACATATCAGCCAGTAATATCCCATCAGCCTGAGTGTTGAAGCATGATTGACATAGTCACCATTTGAATCTCTATCAGGCTTTGAATTAGACTCGATGTCAAACTTCAAAATTGTATCACAGTGACAGAGCTTTTCTTCTCCAGACTAATTTTGTTCATCAGATGTAGTAGAATACCGATTTAATCTATTTTATTTAGATTTTATGCAGCTCCGTTTACAACAACATACCCAGTAAAATTCTACTAATGGGATCTGGGGAGAGTAGAGTGTACGCAGACCTTACCCCTACCCCGAAAAAGGTAGGGAGGCTATTTTCGGCAGACTCTCGGCTCAACAGTAGAGATAATAATATCATAAAAGAAACAACAGAAAAGGCATATAACAACAAAAGATGCCAGAAAGAAAATAACAATAACGAATAAGTGAAAGGACAATAACACAAAACTATGTAAAATAACAATGTGAACACAACATAGACCGCTAGCAAACCTAACCAAAACTCTATCAGACTATCCGGTACAAAGAGGGAAAGAACTCTCGACTATCCCCTAGCATACCATCCTAATTCTCGACCTCCACTTGTTCCTATCAAGAGCCATGTCCTCCGAAACTGAAGCTGCGCCATGTCCTGCATGATCACTTTGCCTCAATACTTCTTAGGCCACCCTCTGCCTCTTCTTGTACCTGCCAAAGTCAACTGCTCACACCTCCTAACCGGTGCCTCTAGGATTCTCCTTCGTACGTGACCGAGCTATCTAATCCGCACTTCCCACATCTTATCATCCATGGGAGCCACGCCCACCCTCTCCCGTATATGTTCATTTCTAATCTTATCCAGCCTAGTGTTCCCACACATCCATCTCAATATCCTCATTTCTGTTACTTTCATCTTCTGGGTATGTGAATTCTTGACTGGCCGACACTCAGCTCCATATAACATGGTCGGTCTAACCACCGCTCTATAGAACTTACCTTTGAGTTTCGGTGGCACATTCTTGTCACACAGGACTCCAGACGCTAACCTCCATTTCATCCACCTCACCCCAATACGGTGCGTAACATCCCCGTCGATCTCCACATCTTCTTGGATAATTGACCCTAAGTACTTAAAACTTTCTCTCTTGAGGATGACCTGTGAGTCAAGCCTGACTTCCACATCCGCTTCCCCCGTCACGTCGCTGAACTTACATTCCACATATTCCGTCTTAGTCCTACTCAACTTGAAACCTTTAGACTCTAAGGCCTGCCTCCATACCTCCAGTCTCCCATTAACGCTGCCTCGCGACTCATCGATCAAAACTATATCATCAGCAAACAACATACACCATGGCACCTCTCCTTGGATATGGTACGTCAGTGCGACCATCGCCAGAGCAAATAAGAACGGGCTGAGCACAGATCCTTGGTGTAACCCCATAACTACCGAAAAAGGCTCTGAGTCACCTCCCACAGTCCTAACCCGAGTCATAGCTCCATCATACATATCCTTTATTGCCCTAATGTAAGCCACCGACACACCTTTCACTTCCAGACACCTTCAAAGGATGTCCCTAGGGACCTTGTCATACGCCTTCTCTAGGTCAATAAACACCATATGCAAATCCCTCTTCCTATCCCTGTATAGTTCCACCAACCTCCTGATAAGGTGGATAGCTTCCGTAGTAGAACGACCCTACATGAACTCGAATTGGTTTTTTGATATAGACATCGTCCTCTTTATCTTCACTTCCACCACCCTCTCCCAAACTTTCATGGTATGACTTAGTAATTTGATACCCCTATAGTTGTTACAATTCTGGATATCCCCTTTGTTCATGTATATCGGAACCATTGTACTCCACCGCCACTCTTCAGGCATCCTCTTTGTCCTAAAGATAACATTAAACAACCCAGTCAACCACTTTAAGCCTGCTCTACCCGCATATCTCCAAAACTCTATCGGAATATCGTCTGGTCCGATAACTTTGCCCCGACTCATCTTACCCATCCCACCCATGACCTCCTCAACCTTAATGCGCCTACAATACCTAAAGTCTCGGTGACTCTCAGAGTGATCCAATTGCCCAAACATGATGTTTCCATCCCCATCTTCATTCAGAAGTTTATGAAAGTACGACTGTTATCTTTGCCTAATCTGGTCCTCTTCCATCAATCTCGACCATCCTCATCTTTGATGCACCTCACTTGATCCAGGTCGCGATCCTTCTTCTCTCTCGCTTTGGCCAACCAAAATAACTTCTTGTCCCCAGCTTTGCCCCTAAGTTCCTCATAAAGCCGACCAAAAGTAGTAGTCTTAGCCTTTGTGACCGCTAATTTCGCCTCCTTCCTAGCCTCCTTATATCTTTCTCTATCGCTCTCCTCTGATCCTCGTTGGTGCTCTCTACTAACTTAATGTAAGCCGCTTTATTGGCTTCCACTTTACCTTGGACAACATCATTCCACCACCATTCGCCTTGGTGCCTTCCAGAGTAACCTTTCAAAACTCCCAACACATCTCTTGCTGCCTCCCTTATACAGTCCGTCGTCGCCGTCTACATAGCGCTAGCGTCCCCACCACTCATTCAGGCACCTATATTTGTCAGCCACCCCACCAACTCCTGCGCATCATCCTTAGACAAAGCTCCCTACCCGATCCTCGACTGACCCAGTACAAACCTCTTCTTCCTCTTCATCAAGATACCGGCATCCATCATTAGGAGCCTATGTTGAGTTGCGAGGTTCTCACTCGGGGCCACCTTGCAATTCTTGCACAATCCCCTATCACACCTCCTGAGGTAGAGATAGTCAATCTGAGTCTTCGCCACCATACTCCGAAAAGTAACCAAATGTTCCTCCCTCTTCGGAAACATCGAGTTAACGATCACCAACTCAAAAGCTCTAGTAAAATCCAACAGTGAGGAATCACCCCTGTTACTATCACCAAAGCCGAAGCCACCGTGCACCTCACCATAGTCACCAGCAGATGACCCAATATGACCATTGAAATCCCCTCCTATGAATAGCTTCTCTGGCAGAATACCCCGCACCACCTCATCCAGTGCCTCCCAGAAATGCCTTTTAACCTCCTCGTCCAAGACCGTTTGCGCCGCGTAAGCGCTAATGACATTCAAAGTGCTCCTTCCAACTACTACCTTAATCATCATCAACCTGTCATTCACCCATCTAACCTCTACCACCGACTCTCTAAGCTCTCTATCCACCAAAATGCCCACTCCGTTAACCTTCACGACTCCGGAGAACCACAATTTATACATGTCTCGCCTTCGATCCTACCCACCTAGTCTCCTGCACANCCCCCCACCACCCCTCCCCGAGGACATGACCCTACTCTGCCATTACAAACCACAATCTCTATACCTACGAAGGTCTAAAAATGAAAAGGAGAAAACAATACCACACAGAACAACAAATGGAGCAAATAGTAGCTACAAGCCCACTAGCCTGACTAGACTAGTACGAAAAACTACGGCAACAAAGTAATTAATATAGGAGACAGAGAAGCAGGAGGCGGGAGGTACCAATTCCCACGAATAAAACCTGGAACTCTCGACTTGCTATACTCCTGATGCTACGGAACCCGACGTATATGTTACACCTCACGTTTTTGTACGTTAAAAGTTTTGTCTTCAGTTAATTGACATAGAATCGGGGATGAGATTATATTGAGATTAACGTATCTAAGGTATTTATAACAAGCAATAAATAAGTGTCACGAAGGATAAAAGGTACACAAATTAAAGAAAATGAGTTTCGTTGAAAGTGGCCAATTTGGGGTAAAATACGAGTCGATCGATAATACCCGATAATTATGGACTAACACCATGCAAGGTAATATATGACCGCGGTAGTACGATTTATAAAGTATATTAAAAATAAATAGAATTTTAAGTAATTCGAGATAATTTTTAAATTATGCGGGTAATTAATTAATTACCGGGTAACAAGACATTACCCAGTTAATTAATAAGTGGATAAAAATTTATAAAATATACCCATATAAAATATGGCAAAAAGCCACCATGACAAAAAATGACTCATTAGTCATTATGCCATGTGGCTATGTAAGAGCTCATTGAATATATAACCAAATAAGACTTGTAATTATGATAAGAGATTGATAACTCATTCTGGATACATCCATTCTAGTTCAAGGGAAACGTTAGCATCTTTTAAAATTCGTTTCAAATTTCAAAAAAATCCAAGCAAAATTTCGTTCAACATTCAAAGAAGTAGAAGCTTCATTCTTTATGTTCAACATATTTCACAGAAGCAAAACTTCATTTCGTTCAAATAATTTAAGGAACAAGCATAATTCCATCAAAATTTTGCGGTTTCAAAAGAGTACGGTGCAATCTTCAAAAATATTATATGGAGTTTTCCTTACTCCAGGTATGTTAAGGCCATCCCTTCTTTCTTTTTGGCATAGTCCTTCTTTCTTTTTGGCATGGTCCAAGTTATACAAAAGAAACGAGCAAACGCACGGTTTTCATAAACGACTCTATTCATAGAAATACTAGGAGTCTCTTTGTTCTTGATTCCCCATGTAATATATTATTATATCTCCTGTTCATGGGTTTCAGAATAATACACAGTTGAAAAAGGTTATCTGGAAAGAATATTGAGATTTTTACATATTTTCATGCATGCCATTCATTTATACATGTACATTGACTCATGACCAGATGATGTTATATACACATATTTATATGTAAATATATGTATATGGGATATGAGAAAAGGTTACGGCGTTATATACGCACCACCACCTGATCAGCTGGTATATGTTGATGATGTTGCCCACAGTGACCGAGATGATATGATAGGATGCCCTCAGTGGCTTGATGATATAATATACACCCATACCTATGCATGGCATGACATTTATACGCACGTGCATGACATTATAAATGTTTTAGAATTTATAAAGTTATTCAGGTTTAAAGACGTGTTTCTATATTCCATGTTTCATCTATGTCTTTTACGTACTAATTTTCATGCCTTACATACTCATTATTTGTGACGACCCGACCAGTCGTCTCATGAGTTACCGCTCTATTTTCCCCATTTTTACTTCTTATTGCTTTGTCTATCGGTTCTATATGCGATCGGGTTGGTTGGCTGGGGTTCGAATAGGATTTGCTAAGGTTTGAGACACTTAGTCTCTTTTGAGGAAGCTTAAGTTGGAAAGTCAACTGGATACTGACTTATGTGTTAAAGGGATCGGATGTGAGTTCCGATGGTTTGTTTAGCTTCGGGAGGTGATTTGGGACTTAGGAGCGTGATCAGAATGAATTTTGGAGGTCCGGAGTAGATTTAGGCTTGAATTGGCGAAATTGAATTTTTTAGCGATTTCCGGTTGATAGGTGAGATTTTGATATAGGGGTCGGAATGGAATTCCGAGAGTTACAGTAGTCCTAGTATGTCATTTGGGATTTGTGTGCAAAATTACAGGTCATTCGGACGTGGTTTGGTTGGGTTTTTGATCAAAAGCGTAATTTAGAAGATTTTGGAATTCTTAGGCTTGAATCCGATGCGAATTTGGTGTTTTGATGTTGTTTTGAGCATTCCGAAGGTTGGAACAAGTTTGAATGAGGTTATGGGATATGTTGCCATGTTTGGTTGAGGTCCCCGGGGGCCTCGGGTGAGTTTTGGGTAGTCAATCGGACCATTCCATGATGTTTGGAATTGCAGAAATTGCTGGTCAGTGTTGAAGAGAAAATGGCCTTCGTGTTTGCGAGTAGGCCCTTGCGTTCGCGAAGGGTTAGCTGGTGAAGGATGGAATTTTAGCCTTCGTGTTCGCGAGGAAGGCTACACATTCGCGAAGGGCTGAGGGATTGAGCATCGCGTTCGCGAGTGAAGCTTCGCGATCGCGTAGAGGAAAGTGGTCAGCTGGGTTCGAGGTCAAGTTGTTCATCGCGTTCGTAAAGGGATGCGTTCGCGAAGAGTTGTCTGAGGAACATCGCGTTCGCGATGGGCAGGTCGCGATCACGAAGAGGAATTTTTGGTCAATGTTATTTTGTGCTTCGCGAACAGGAGGCGTTGACTGCGTTCGCGAAGAAGAATTTCAGACCTGGGCAGAATGTTTAAATAGTTGTCTTGTCTGCGATTTTGGGGTTTATTTTCACCATAGTTGAGCATTTTTGGAGCTTTTTGAAGAGGATTGAAGAGGGATTCAAGGGGAATCACTTGGAGGTAAGATTCATGGACTTAAAACTTGATTCTAATGTGAAATCTAGCTAATTAATCATGGAATTTAAGCCTAAAATTGAAGAACTAGGGCTTGAAATTGGAGACCTAGAATTTGGGATTTGAGGGGTCATTTGTGGTTGGATTTTGATGCTTTTGGTATGAATGAACTTGGGGAGTGATAAGGAATCCATTGATGTGAATTTTATTGGAATCCGAGATGTGGGCCCGGGGGTCAGGTTTTGGTAATTTCGGAATTTATGTTGTAAATTGATTATTTTCGCTCGGGCTTCATTCCCTTAGCATATTTTGACGTTCTCGTTCTAATTTTGGATAGATTCGACGCGAGTGGAGGCCGATTCGAGGGGAAAAGGTGTCGCGAGCTAGAGATTTGACCGATTGAGGTAAGTAATAATTGTAAATGATGTTCTGAGGGTATGAAACCCCGGATTGCACATCGTTGAGCTATATTGAAGTGACGCACACGCTAGATGATGAGCGTGGGGTCGTGCACTGTTGGGGATTGTGACTTAGTCCGTCCTGAATGACTATTTTACCGCGTATGTGACTAAAATCTATTTTTTATCATCATTATTTGGGTTGAATGTCATATTTGGGCTTTGTGCCAACTATTTGAACCCTTAGGGGACTTTTATTGATATTTCCTCACTGTTTTGACTTTATACTTGAATTCAATCATGTTATATTTCACTGTTTCGTACTCAGCCATGTTTACTCTGTTTTAACACTTAAATAATCTTTTAAATGATATTTTGGGCTGAGAATCATATTTTACTATTGCTCGAGTGGCTTGTGAGGATTTTGACTAAGTAAGGTCGTGTCACGGCGCAAACCGAAGGGCCGCGACGGACCAGGTGCCTTACTCGATCGAGTACCAATGTAACATATCTTTCTTATCATACTATCATGGGTAAATGATCCAGAAAACTCGTCATGAGATAACAAGAATGAAACATAAGGGAATACTTAACATATGACGACCCAACATGATATGCAAACTTATACATGTGACATATGGGCCTATAAGGCCGACATGACCATTTGTAAACTCAAAACATAAGCCGACAAGGCCATACAAGTATCCATACACCTGACATCTATCTACAAGCCTATAAGAGTACATAATATCATAAAGGTCGGGACAGGTCCCCGCCATACCAATCAATACATATCCAAAGCATACTGACCAAATAGGCAACTTCGGAGCAAGTGGAGTGCACCAGCATCTTCCGGTGAGCTGATAGCCTACTTTGAGGAATGTCAACCTGTCTATCAGCACATGCAGGCATGAAACACAGCGTCCCCTAGCAAAAGGGACGTCAGTATGAATGAAGTATCGAGTATGTAAGGTAGGAAAGTATAAACAAGAACAGTAATGTAAAGAAAGATAGAGAAGATACAACTTGTAACATCTGAGTGCCTCTAGGAGCTACTGACATGAAATGCATAATACATATATATATATAAACTTTTAAAAAGCATATGCCTCTGTGGGCATCATCATCATCATATCGTACCTAGCCTCAAAGAGGACTCGGTAAAAACGTACCCGACCATTATAAGGCTCGGTAGAATCGTACCCGGCCACGTGGAGCTCGGTAAACCCAACTGATCAGTGGTTGCACAATAGGTGCCGTACCCGGCCGAGTATAGCGCGGCTCGATAGACTAAAATAGATACATATATATAATGCATGCTC